CCCCGCAGTCCATTAGATCCCATTGAGATCTGATATGTTTTGAGAATGTTCCTTTAATTTTTTGTACATCACTAAGATTAATCATAAGAGCTGATGTTGTACATCTACTACTACTGCTTTGAAAGAGAAAGAAGAGAGGATCATTGACTTGCCACAACAGTCTTTCCTCTGCCTCAATGGATGTAGATCTCATGAGGGAATGGTGACACCTTCCTAAACTCCCATAGTTCTCCCAAAGTCCGTAATATAACTCAGCAGAGTGAGCCTAGAAGAATGGGTTTGTTGTTTAGTGCTCTGGCATTCCTCATTTTATTATCCAACTGCAAACCTTTGGTATACTAATTTCTTCAAGATGATTCATCTGTTCACAGCAAGGTCTGTGACAGCAACAGTCCATTAATACAAAATCACTAATTTTTATAGTCATTCAAAAATTCTACTCCCCCTATTTCCCCTCCTCCTAAGATCATTCTTGACGTTACAGTACATGTTACAGTACATTCTTGATGGTACATGTCTCCTGTTGTCCCATATATGATGACCCTGCTGACTTCCTGTTTACAGCATTACTGCATTTCTCTCATTTAGACAAATTACAGAATCATTATTTTTAATCATTTTATTGCATCTGTTAATCATAAATACTGCATTTTTTAAAATCACCGGTACTGTAATTTCATGTGTACATATTTTGGAATGCTGTACTTTATCAACTATCTTGGGGCTAGATATTAAGTCCCTCATTTAGACAGTGCTAGGTGGATGAGGCCTTGGGGTTTTCAAGCATACTTCATTATCTATCAAAAACGGTGGAGGTTATGTAATGTAAAGCATGACTGTTTGACAGTGGAATCAGGTCATTAGTATTTATTGAAGATATGACTGCTGATATAAGTAGCAGGATGAATTGTGAAGTATAAGCAAAGCAATCCAATAGTTTCTCAAGGCAAAGGAATGTAGTATACCTCAATTGCCAAGTCAGTTACTCAATCTTGACACAATAGAACTAAAAAGCTGCCTGAATGTTTTTTAGTTCTTAAACACAAAACTACAGGCAGGAAAGCATTTCAAGCAAACAAGCAGGAACTGAAGATGATCACAGAAAGGGTTAGCAGAGATTTCCAAGAAAAAGAAAACGGACATCACCAAATGTTGATGTCCATGGGTTAATGTAAAAATCTTTGTAAAAACCCACTGAGTTAAAGTATGGAGAATCAAGGCTGAAAGCGTGATTGATTGTTTGATTTAAAAGGCACTGTGGTTGTGTGCAGAACCTAGACTACGAAAAATGTTACTCTACAAGTGGTCACTATCATATCATTGTTCTTTTGCCATTTTCTGTTAATAGCATTCTTTGAGCGTCAGCATCTATTGTCAGAGCAAAGACGTAAAAGCAAACGCAAAAATATGTCAGTTAGTGCACTACTGTCACTATAAACATAGGTTATCGAGATTCAAGATATTCAAGACAACATATGACTTTGCTTATACTGTGAGGCTGTGATTACAGAGTGTGGATAAAATTACTATTGAAAGACTGTCAAAGGTGCAATTTTAACAGGTCAAATTATCTTGTTTGCACTGTTATAATGAATAATAATGGATTGCATTTATATAGCACTTTTTGAGACCCCACTTTACAATTCCACTATTCATTCACTCTCACATACTGGTGGAGGCAAGCTAGCCACAGCTGCCCTGGGGCAGACTGACAGAAGCAAGGCTGCTATATCACGCCATCGGCCCCTCTGGCCAACACCAGTAGGCGGCAGGTGAAGTGTCTTGCTCAAGGACACAACAACCAAGACAGACAGAGCTGGGGATTGAACCGGCAACTGTCCGGTTACAAGATGAGCTTCCCAACCCCCTGAACCACGGTCGACCAAATGTCAAGGACAGGGTAAAATAATCAACAGAGGGAAAGCTAATGAATGCCTGTCTTTCTGTTTTTTCCCCTCTGCTTAAGAACCTTTTGTACCTCTATTTATAACAGGTTTTAACTCTCACACAGTATTCTTTGTTTTGTTTTTTGTTTTGTTTTTTTTTTTGGGGGGGGGGGGGGTATTAGGTTTTATTTAGGGTATTATTTATGACGCCCCCTCATGCGTCAAGCAGACACAATACATGCCTAACTTCCAAAACCACAAATGTTCTGGTAACAACTTTTGGCACAGTTTGAAAATAACATTTTCTTCGCCTCCAAGCCAGGTGCTTCATGTAGCTCATCTCGCTCTTGCTTCTCCAAAACCTCAGATGCATGCTCTGCAACAAAACTGTCAATTCTGCAGGCCCTCTGTTTCACCTCTCACCTCGCCTACTAAAACTCACAACCAGACAGAGGCCACTCTCATATGTGTAACAATCTAAATAAAACTATATATGTATATATTGAATAAATAAATGTTTTAATTAAATGCCACTACTCAAAGCTTAATAAAAAAGAATATAAACGAATAAAAGATAATAATGAATAACCTGGTTATTCAAATAGCCTCATCCAGACAGCTCCTCAAAATAACCACCAAAAAATGCACACTTTAATGTAATATCAACAGCTCCAATAAATGATTTAATGCAATGCTTGTTATGTGGTTCTAATGCAATAATGACTTAATGCAAGGTTAATTAATACAATGATAATACAGATAATAAGTAACAGTGAAATAATTTGTTTTATCCCACACCTACTTTACACCTTTAAACAAGACTATATTCAACTCCATACTCAAACAGGTTATACACTCGAATGTTCCTGTAACTAAAAATAATATTCATAGTTTCATGGGATTCTTAGATTCCTTATCTAGGTTTTAGATAAGTGACAGATTAGCAACCGGTACAATTTGTGTCATTTTACTCATACTCTTGATGTCACACTAAGATGCACAGATAAAACAAAACCAGTATGTGTGGGTGTTCTATGGAATTCATCAGCTTAAGGGAGGCACAAATATAAGAGGAATGATTCAGAGCACACACACACACAAAGCACACTCAGATACAGCCTAGAGTTGAAACAGAAAACACACATCTGACTATAGACTATAATCTACTTGAGTAAACAAAGTCTCACACTGAAGAAGTTCTAAAGACTGAATCCGACAAAACTACCTAAGAACTACCTAAGAACGGTTCACACAGGTAAGATGGACAGTGAAATCTTTCTATAGTGTATCATAGAATTATTTTGGCATCTTAAACATGTGTTGTACCATCTGTTTTTTTCCTAGTATCACATTTGTTTTTTCTATATTATTTTCAATATTAATGAATGGAAGTAAATGACCAATGCATTTCTGTCAACCCTTAAATTTTACATCTAAGTAAAATATGAGGTCCAGTGTAAAATCATATTATCATATGATGTAGTGCTGATGTTAATAGCATTAAGCTGTTTAATAAAATATCAAACATGATTTATCTTATTTCCACTTACTTTTACTTTACATTAATTGCAAAGGCAGTCTCTGTGCTTGATCATATTCTTTTTGTCCCAAAAAGTTGATTCTGTTCAAATTGTCATGCCCATTGATGAGAATGGTCATGACAATTGGTATATTAATGATCAAGGAACTGACCTCACAGCCCATTGTTCATTCAGTGGTGCTAGTTTCAGTCATTGTGCAATGTACTGTTTATAAGGCTGGGGAAACCTGCAGTCAGCTGATACCGACAAAGTCACTTGGATGATTCACAAAACTATTCTCCCACTGAAAACACTACATCCAGATGAACAGAAACAACCTTTTGGGATTTACTTACCTGGATGATTGGGCATGCATCAAGATATATTGTTTTTGGTTTCTGGCAGAAAAAATTATGTTGCTAAAACCAACATAAAACTAGTGTAAACATTCACATCAGGATTTCTTTTTCTTTCAGCAGTACCATCCTACCCTCCTGCTCAATAATGACTACCAGGCAGTCAGTCATGCTTCTGGTGGTGCTGGTCCTCTCCCTCCCAGGTCTTATTCATAGCTTTAAACCACTCTTCAACTCGAATTCTTTCACCCACCGTGAAATCACACGAATAGCAGTCCTTCGAAAGACAGCAGAGGTCTGCCAAGATATCGCTGCTTCTAAAGGACTAGACTTCAATCTGATTGTGAGTTAGACTTACAAAGAAACACAGCAAGAACAGTGATACATCTGTGCTTTGTGCATCGGCGTATCTTTGTGCTGAACATTGGGGGGGGGGGG